TTGTGAGGAACCATTACCAATTTGATCATGGGGCGTACTACTAATGTTGTTCCTTAGTTTTCTGTTTCGACAAATAAATCTGGTCTTCCAAATGACCTGCAGTCCTTCAAGCTCAGCCCTCCCTCACGCGCTGGCTTTGTAGGAATTAGTGCTCTGATGGGGTACGTGTATAGCTTAGAAAACCCTCAGTGGTCGGAATAGTGATATAGAATTAAGGGAGAACATCGCGTCGAGTTGATAACTTTGTTCAGGCCGTTTTAAAAGTCTATTACGTAAGTGAAAGATACACTCATGTAGGCTGATTTTTTTATCATTTTCATTCCTTGCATTTTATTTACTTATTTTTTTCTATTCAGAACTGGATTATCAAGAGACATGTTCTAACAAATCCTAATCTGTAAATGAAATAATTACCCATGAAATTGTAGCTCATTGAAGAATTCATGTAGTCAGGCCCTTTTCCAATAAATCGCTTCTTCGAACGAAAGCACTTGTTTAGCTCCATAACTGTCTGTAGAAGGAGTCCCGCCCTTGCACTTTCGCTTTCGTCTTCCGTTCCTGGAAAGTTTTTTCCATCGTCTGCAGGCCAGGCAGCAAATTCCCAGGATTAGGGCGCCGAACGCATGAGGGCATCAAAGATCTCCTAGTCGTGCTATATTCCCACATTCATACAATCATTAGCCTGCGGACGGTGTTCTCGTAGATAGCTATAAAGCTTCAACTGGTCGAAAACATTTAGCTAAGAGACTTCCTGAAAATGAAGGAAAGCAGTTGCAAAGGACTGCCCCACACTCCTAAATCCCCCCCACTGCTCTCAAGCTAGAATCCCATAGTTGTTTTCAATTTTGCCTCCCTGGCATTTTGCCGTAAACGAGGAAATAGAAGTCGCATTCGGCGTTCTGTGCCAGCACTTCCGCTTCCGCATTGCTATCGATCTTCCCAGAGTGCGCGCTGTTTTTTCATGCAACTCAAAGTGCAACCCTGCAGTAAACTCAGTTTTCAGCAGAAACAGGCTGCAACGTGCAGAAAAATTCCTTGCGCCGCTCCGCGTCACTTCCCTTCCCATACTTCCTTGGAAACTCTTCAAGCAAAAGCACATCGAAGGTGTCCCATTGGTGTTTCCCATGGTCCACATGAGAAATCGGCCTTTGGGGTTCTTTGTTTATTTTCAGTGCAGTTGAGACTCTGCTTGGCTAAGCCGTTCAGCTTGCAAATCACCCGACTTTTTCTTGTGACATATTTCAGAGAGATAGATAATTTCAGTACCTTATTACCGCCAAGGAGACCCTCAGGTGAAACCAAAGTTAACCATCAGGTTATGAAAAATTTCAGTCCGGAAAAGCGCCCTTAAAAGGAACCCCGATGCGACGCCTTCCGTGCCCGGTCATTGATGTTGATTGCTCATGGCGTCGTAGAACTTGTCATCTCTTGTCACACTCCGACTCCGCCGACAAAATTGCTCTGCACAATTCGGTCCATTTCAGCAGCTTTCCCGGTTACTGTTGTAAATAATTTCTCACAACTCCAAAAAACAACCCTCTACCCTAGAAACTATAATCGTTCAACCTTCACTATCAAGATCCCCTGAAGAAGCTCAATCTTCTTCTTCTTCCTAGCTTTGTTCCCGCATGTCCGCAGGGTCAGCTGCTTTGATCTTGCGCCGCCATAACAGTCTGTCTTCGGTGTCTCTGGGCCTGAGTTGCAGCGAGGCCATATCTTTCTCGATTCTGTCCATCCAACGAGTCTTTGGTCTACCTCTCGGCCTGCATCCTTCAACCTGCATATCGAAGGCACGTTTGGCCACGGATCCTGAATTGCTACGCATCACATGAAAACTGTAGGGCTTTCTCTCATTTATATGAGTGGATACACCCATTGGCACTTTCTTACTTCTTGCGTGTCGTTCTTTGGTTTTGTAGTCTAGAGGAGTTGCAGCGACCGTAGCTCTTCTCTCCATCAACGTGGAAGTGCTGTTCGTGGCGTTTCCGGTGAGGGCCAGACTTCGCAGCCGTGACATCGCGGTTCATCGAGCGATAGACCCTTCGATTTCAGACTCGCTATGGCATTTTCTTTGGTCCAGGACTGGCCGTAGATTGCCTCCATTCTCCACCACAGTCGACTTTTCTTGCTGCACTCCATTTCCAATGCCTGTCGTGCGGCCGAGGGTACTTGAAAGATGCCGTTTTCCTGCGAATCCCTCGTCACATGGCTGATGATTGTCGTTTGAGTGGGCAAATTCATATATTCCCCCGGTGTTTCTCAGTTATCTCATTCACTTCTCCCAGCTCACTTTCAGCTCTGGGACTTGGGTTGAAGCTCTTTTGTGGTGAGCGCAGTTCACGTTCATCTGTATAGAGGGTCATGGGTGTCGTTCTGCAATCCTTGTAATTCGTATATGCACAGATGAAAAGGAGCCGGCGAGAACGTACCTCTGATGACTCGCTGCTATGGGCGCGTTTTTTCGATCCGGCCAGCCGCTCCGCGGCACTCATAGTCCTGTGGTTGTCTGAATGCATTGCACATATGCTTCTGGTACATGGTGCTTCCGAAGGGCATACCATATGAGGTCATGAGGAACTCGATCAAAAGCCTTTTCAAGGTCCAAGAATGCCATATGGAGAGGCTTTCGCTTTTCAATGTGCTTGCTAAGCATCAATCTGGTGGCATGGATCGCGTCGACTGTCCCACAGTTCTTGACAAATCCACATTGATTGCTGGTTATTTCGATTATATCTCGCAGCCTAGCATCCAGGACGCGTTCGAAGACCTTCAGGGTGTGGGACAACAACCGGACGGGCCGATATGTCGAGCAATCCATGACATCTCCCTTTCCCTTCCATATCGGCACTGTTAAACTTCTTTTCCATTGCGCGGGGATTTTACCTTCCACCAGGATCTTGTTGAAGATGAGAGCGAGATAAGAAGCGCCGTCACTGCCAAGTAGCTTCCATACTTCTACAGGTACATCGTCAGGTCCACATGCGCGCCCATTTCTCATTTTCTTGATGGCCATCTCGACCTCCTCGATAGTGACGCATCGCACGGGACCCTCAATCGGTAGCCCGCAAGGAATGGGTGGATGCGCGAACTCCTCGTTGGAGATAGCTTCGAAATAGGAGCGCCATCTGTTCACTATGCTTCCGGGAGTGCGAAGAATGTTTCCATGGGTCGGTAGCCCGCTGCCTTGCTTTGGCCAGGCGGTACACCATCTTTTCTCCCTCGGCGGAATTCAATTCCTCGTAAAGGCTCCTGTAGTGAGCTTCCTTTGCGGTGGCGACAGCAGCCTTTGCTTTTCGTTTTGCTTCCTTATAAAGAAGTAGATCCCCGGGATCCTTCGTTGCAAACCACTTCTTAAGAGCTTTTTTCTTTTCCGCTATAATCTTCTGAACATCAGTACCAAACCACCATGTTTGTTTATCGATGGCCTTCCCGCCTTTTTTGGAACAGCCGAGCACATCAGACGCGCATTCAACGATTGTTTGTTGCGTGGAGCTCCATAACTCATCGAGGGGCAGGGAGCTGAGTGGGTACAACAGGTGCGTCAGCTTCTCCCTTAACACATTCTTGTGCTCTCCTAATTTCCACCACTTTATCCTTGCTGCGCAGTTGATGGGCTTCCGTAGCAAGTTGTTCTTCCTCAGCCTAATGTCCATGACGAGCATCCGATGCTGAGGTGCAACGAGTTCTGAGGGGATCACCTTGGCGTCCCTCACGTACTTCAAATGCTTTCGCTTCGTCAGGAAGTAATCGATCTGGCTTGTTCGTCCTCCGCTGTTATACGTTATCAGCTGACTATCTCTTTTCTTGAAGTATGAATTTACGACAGCAAGATGTGTAGCTTGAGCAAAAGACAGAATACGGGTGCCCTCCTCGTTTCGATCTCCGAAGCCTTGGCCACCATGACACTCTCGGAATCCTTCTCCATAGGCCCCTATGTGACCATTAAGGTCGCCTCCTAGGATCAGTACTTCTGACTCATCGATTTCGTTGACGTGATCCTCGAGGCTCTCCCAGAACTCGTCCTTCAGATCGGTTGGGCATCCAGATTGTGGCGCATACACTGAAAACACTCTTAGCGAGACGTCCTGGAGGCTCAACTTGACTGACATAATTCGATCCGATAACCTTCTGACTTCGGTGACGTGCTGTGCCAGCTTTTCATTCACGACTACTGCCACACCATTGGCGGATGAGCTGGATCCGTGGAAAATCACTTTGTAGCCGTCGCCGATGGCTCGCGATTTAGAGCCCTTCCACTTCGTCTCTTGGATGCACGCCACGTCCGCCCTTCTTCTTTTCAGGGTGTCTGCCAGTTCACGGCTCCTTCCTGTCAACGTGCCAATGTTTAAGGAGGCCAGGCGTATCACCTCAGACTTTGGCTTTGTCCTCTTTGCTAGCTCACTTTTAGCCTCGCTGTGGACTAGCTTCTTTAGCCGGCCACGTCCATTCTTAGCCGGTAGCCCTCGCAGGTTCTCCGCATCTATAGGGCGATCTAGATGCGTGTCTCTTACGGGAGACGTCCTAGCCTGTTTCGATACATACCTTTGGCGCAAGACCATGTTTGATGCGACTAGAGTAGAGCACACCGGCTTGTCGCACAGCCTGTCATGCGCTTGCTCGTGTTCAGCCTGCCTGAAGCCGTTGCACGATCTTTCTTCTGGCAGTTGACAGCCGGCACCAACGTGGAGGCGAGCAATCCCGGCGCCCTGGAGAGAGTCGATCATATATATATATGTAGGTAGGTTATAAGGGTATATATGATATATTATTATATATAGCGCGAGGCATAAGGGACCCCTCACTCACGGGAATCTGCACGAATCGTGCGGATGGGAGGTATTATTGACAGGTCTAACATATCTCGCTAAATGGACAAATCACCATTAGGTGTGGCGCAGAACAGACCAACTGACCAAATAAAACGAATCGGGAAGGGATTCTCAGCATGTTGCTGGTTTTTTTCTTTTTTATTTTTTTAGGACGCTATTCGCAAAATAGTGGCATTGCGGGCAGCATGTGAAACCTTCCTTTCTGGAGGAGCGGTTTAGCTCCAGCGAGATTGAGACGCAGGGTGCATGACGGATTTCTTCAAAGTTTTGCCTCTCTAGGCTTTTAGTCCTAAGGGTACCGCAGGTGGGTGTGCTGATGGGGGCTTTTGTGTTATCAGATGTGCTTTGTCATAATACGCCGTCCCTGATCTAAAAAATTGACGGATGGAAGGCAGTCCAGCTTGCAATTTTCTATGAGCCTTTCAGGATCGAAGAGCTGAATGGCTGCGTTACGAATCATGTCGCACTTTTTTGAGGTTTCTCTAAAAGAGCACAGAGTCGAGTAGGGTGGTCGCACTGAGGTGTTAGTAGCTGAGGTTCCAAGTCCTTTCTCCTGGGGTGGGGCCGGCGTCGAAGGGAGATGGTTGTCTGGTTTTTTCATGGAACGCGGTTGCATGAGCGTCGGACGTTGTCCTCATCAAAGGGGCTTATTTATGGCGCGTGTCAGTGCCCCTCGCCCGTAGTCTTATTACATCAGAAATTGTCGGGTTAAGGGGTTTTTTTTTTTTTTTTTTTTTTATTATTTAATTTTTTTTTTTTTTTTTTTTTTTTTTTTTTTTTTTTTTTTTTTTTTTTTTTTTTTTTTTTTTTTTTTTTTTTTTTTTTTTTTTTTCTGAAATTTTTTCCTCTGCGCCACTTATACACGGTAACGGTGGGTGGCCAGTTCAAAGAAACGTAGAAACAAAGGAACGTTGACTGATGTATATGGGGGGTTGGAGCGAAAACACGGACTAGAGCAGCAGGTGCTGATCCTTTTTGAGTAATGCTGCTAATCGATGAGATATGCGTTATTCCCACTATTTAGAAAGCTCAAGAGAAGGTAGTCGGTATAGTCGATCTCAAATGAGTCGAGTAGAGCAGTGACAGTTGTCGGGTTGAGGGATGGTTGAAGTGTGGATCATTTCATACAAGCCACTCCGGAAAGGTGCCACAGGTGTGGCAGGGTGATCCTAGTGGCGTTGTTCTTCCCTATTGTGTGGGTTGTGGTGGTTTGCGTTTGTTCGATTGAGAAACATGTTAGGTCGTCAGAGGTTGTGCATAGCTTTTTCACAGTTTTTGCGGGGTGATATTAGGGCCTGGGCACACGAAGCATGGGTTTTGTTTGAACGGCCTCTAGGGAGCCAGAAAAGGGGGAGGGGGCGGTTGCCTTAGTCTTTTTCACCAGTTTTTCAATCAAAGTCTATTTGTAGGGGTTACTGACGGTCCTATCATGAATATGGTACTAATTATTCATGCTAACTCCATTTTGCGCGAATTTTGAAACGTCAACTCGAAATGCAAAAATTTGTCACCACGAGGAATCGAACTAGGGGCCCCTTTTTGGTATTCAGAAGGCCGTTCAGGAAAAATTATGTTCTGTGTCATATGTTTTCCCAGGGCATGCCAAGAACCTTTTGAAAAAGCTTGGCACAACCTGAGACTCCCTTGTAGAGCCTTTAAGTTCGTACTTGAAGGATTAGTGAGTGGAGCAGGTGGAATAGGGTCGATCAATCCTTTGACGTGACTCTGTTACTGCCTGCGTGTGGACGATGTCGATGGGAAATGCCGCGTGGGAGCGATAGAGGCTCGCGAGGTGGCGAGAGTGATGCGTTTGGGGAGGGCGTATTTAAAGGGAAAAATCTTGACGAGTTTCCGTTTGACAAATGTTGCGAATGATTGTTCACCCTTCACGTTAGGGAGCTTCAGTTGCGGATCTAATCGGCTTGTATAGGGCAATGTGGCTGTGATTTCGCAAAACCCCGCCTCATTTTTGATGGAATTTCAGAAATAATGTTAATGATATTTATAAATAAAAGATGGTAGTAATAAAGTGGATTTGTTTTTCGTTCAACCTCTGCATTTTGGCTTTATTGCGCTTTGAATTGTAAATATTGTGCCGTGTGGTGCGCCATTTCACTTTTTTTACGCAGCAACTTTTCAATTTGTTTGATCACGGTTCATATCGTCGATGCCTGACGGAAATTTGGATCTATGGGTTAGTTAGGCAATTTGGACATTTCTGGTGCGCAGTCGGAACTGGAGAGGCCAAGGGACGAAGTTTCCGACAGGGGGGAAGGTCGCATTCAGCGGAAGAGGGATTGGCAAGGGTGTTTTTATGTGGGGGTGTTTGATTCCTCAACGGTGTAGGAACTTTGGAAAGATGTAGATTTTTGAGAAATTCTGGCAAAATTTCGATAAGCTGTTTATGAATTCACGGTTCCTTCAAAAATGTTCTGTTTTGAACTGCCCCATAAATTCCTGCGTTCGCATCACCCACTTCACTTTCTCCACGGAAAGTTTTTTGGCAAAGGTCAGGTGGGTTTCACTTCTAGGTATAGGATAGAAGGTAATGGAAGAGGAGCTGAAGAGGCGAGTTGTTTTGCCGTCCTAGCTGCGGGTCGTATTAACTCTTATCAAAGGAAGCGGAGCAATTGGCGGAAATTTCCTCGTCATTCAGCTCAACCACTAAAAACCTCGACGGAACTTCGCTGCCCCCTTTTTCTTTTACAGCACTAGGGAAATTTCAAAAGCGGAAGCACTTCCGAGATTAGCCGTGAAGCTTCGAGTCGTTTCAAGCCGCTTTCATAAATGGATGTGTTCAATTAAGATGAACGCGAAGAGTGATCCAACGTCACGGTCCGTGACTCACGGATAAGCAAATTCTGTTCTCTGTTAGTTCATAGATCAGTCCCCTATTTTCCTCTGTAAAATCCCCACTGAATTTACCTGCATCTCTACCGATCCGCCATTCTGTGAACTTGGTTCAAAAGAGAAACGCAAGTACTCTAAAATTCTGTCAAAAGCACACCCGGGAGAGTTCTCCGGCTTCTCTGTTCTTGCAACCTGGGCATGTTAGCTGTGAAAAGTTTTGCTCCATTAATTTTTTTTAATTCAGCCACACTTCAATTCTAATCATCACATAGGGTATTTTGATGTTTTTGTACCTTACGAGGAACGTTTGCTCAAATGTCCTGAGGTTTCGACTGATCGTCGTCTTTAGAGGCCGACGGTTCCACCGTTGAGCGGATTAGTCCGCAGACACACGAGAGCGCTAGTTAGTTGTGAATCCATAGACAGCTTATTCCTATGGCCGATGTCAGACTTTGCGAATCGAGCGATTCGCTAGCGTCCGCGGTCGCGTTGCGGTACCAGCCAATTGAGTGATTCACTGGCCGCGACGCGACCGCAGACGCTAGCGAATCGCTCGATTCGCAAAGTCTGACATCGGCCTAACTTTGTGAAACCCGCGCTAATTTCTGTGATTGTGAGGCAAGGTTAGCGAAATAAATTTTCAAACGAAATAAAGTTTTTAAAATCAGTGACTTATTTGAATGATTATCAAAAGAAAGCTCGATATGTGAATACATCAACATTTAAGCATTGCCAAAGTACATGGAAGCAGTCTCAAAAACGAATGAAGTGAAGGGAAGACTGGGATGGTACTATCATTCTGTGACCTCATAGGTATTATAATTTGATAATGTTTTACTTTATTTTGTTTAAAGGACGAATTCACGATGAAAAAGCAACCCATTTCAAATTAACCTAGGGATGGTGAGTGGTACACGAAAGAAGGAAGAACCATGAGAAACGGCCCAGAACCCGAGAAATGGTACCCCTTCCTTGCCCGTTGATTCGAGCATTGATGCGACTCTCATCGCTGTGCCCTCTTCAACACTACGCTCTCTCAGCTATCTAATCACTCGCCACGTATTGAACTACGGCGAGTGATCAGATGATCGGTGGGCGGAGATCGCCGGACCCGCCAGCTTTGAGGCATGATAGGTCGCCGAGGTCAAATTTTTCCATGCGAATTGCGCGTCAGTTCGCACCCTCAGGAGGTCCGTGGGTCCCTCAACTAGGTCAGTTTCCTTTTCTTCGACCTTCATTCTAATCGTAAAATCCTCCTGTAAAGCTAATGATCCGTGATGAATTCTTATGCGCTATATGTTATCAAGGCATTTCTGGACACGGAATCGCCGTTGAACTAATTCAGCTGATCACAAATGTTGATAAATTAAAGACATTGTTCTGATATTGTGTTGTCTCGGAGCTAAATCAGGACCCAAATGTTGTATAACACTAACAGGCACTACGATTTTGGTTTCAGAAGAATTTCAAAAACTTACTCAAACTCTAAAAAATCCGAAAATTCCAGACAAACAATTCCAAAACACTTTCGAATTGTTTTTCGTAATAACTTTTCCGGAATTTCACGAAGCTAATTGCGGCTGTGAAAAAATTTCGCCCCAATTGGGGCGACAATTTTGTTGTTGTTCACAACCCAGCATTCTTGTAAACATCCGCAAGGCGAATTGCTGCCATAAACAGCAGTTAACAAGCAACAACAAATCGGAAGCAATTTCTTCAAAATCTTCCGCGATATTTCGGTGCATAGCACCTTCCAGGTGTGTTAGATATGTGCCTCAGCTAAAAGGAAATGCTCAAAGTTGGCCATGGCTACTCAAGAATGCGAGTGTGATAGTATCACTAGAATCTGTCCTGAACGCTGATGCTCAAATCTACCTCTAAAATGAAAACAACTTTCTTGATGGCACGCTTTTAAAGCGCGAAGTGCGGCAAAGTGGTTGTGCGTCGGGCATTCACATTTGAAACATCGTAAGATTGGTCCTTTACTCGCCATCGCATTTACTGTTTCTATACTTCACCAATACAGCTAAAAGGCTTTTGATAATGCGTTTATAAGCAATTCCTGAAGAATGCAGAACAGTAAACTCGATTAGAGACTGATCCTACGACGTTTTGATTATGAGTCCCGTCCACAACCGTTGCACTATATGTTCTTAAACTCGATCATAGAATCGGTCAGATTAGAGGGTTTAAATTGCGATCGCGTTCAAAGGCACTTCTAGTGGTATTCATCTCTTCCGAAGTTGGCCATCCGACCCGGGAGCCTTTCTGTTATTAAAGCCTGCCCCTCCAGAGGGCCGCCGTTGGAGTACCATTCCGCGGGAGATTCCACAAAAATTCTTTTTGAATTGTTTTTTTTTCTGGAATTTTCGGAGTATTTGAAGTTTTTATGAATTTCTGAGATTCTTTTGGAATAAATTTTTTGCGCCTCCTTGTGGTATACTAAAACGAATACATCGGATGATACAGCGATGTTGGAAAGCAGTATTTGAATTGTAGACAATCCAGGCTGAATGACATTTCCATTGATCCGGCAAACGGGGAACAACTTTTATGGCGACGACACCTTTGTTTTCTTTTTATTGACTTATTTATTTGAAACGCTGCATAAGGTAGTCGTGAGAAAACTACACAACACACGCAAGAATTATGCATACGACCTATGGCTTACAATTCTTTCTTAGCAAGGCGTCTGAGAACACAACAGTCTAACGAAGAAGTGCCATATTTGCTTCAAAAGAAATAAATATAGAATCCGCTTGACAGGTGAAGCCACGAAGTCTAAAATAATTCGAGGCATTGCATATGAAAAATTTTCCGATCCCCCTCTGCTTCTAGATTTGGCCACCCATAAAATTTGGAGGCATCAACTCGGGTACCCCCAGGAGGCCCGTCGCGCGGCAAGAAGGCAGAGTCGGCGGACGAGTTGCAGCGCGTGGTGCGATGTAGGACGTGCAATGGGACATTCTATTTAACTTGACGCGAAATCCCTATAGTACGCGCGCGACTCGTCCGCTGACTTTGCCTTCTTGCCGCGCGACGGGCCTCCTGGGGGTACCCATCAACTCACCTAGCTTATCTTACCTACTTACCTAGCTGGTTGCGTGATGCCTAGGTCGAGACAATAATTACAATGTAATCTACGAGTTCAATTGGATTTTCTCAACTAGATGGATATCCCTTTTCAAATAAAGGCAAATTGGTTTTCTTCAAGATGGACTTGGATCTTTGTTATTGTAGAAGTTGGATACAAATTTTGGATAATTGAGAAAAACTCCGATTCGACGGATACATAATGAGTTGAATCCCAAGTATAAACGACAATTTACTGTTTACTGAGGAATGTTGTTCACATTGTTGATAAAATCTATGTCTCTCCACAAGAGTAGGCGCAGGGCCTGAATAGCCTACAGAAGCAATTCATCGTGGCACGCAAGTAGTTTCCGTCGTGCTCATCTTAATCCCTTCCGGAACTGCCCGTGAAGATTCCATGTTTATGAACGGGCTTTGCACGTTTCGGGTCCTAGCAGCTCATCGACGCATCGATCAAGCGGATCAAATCGTTGATGCTAACCAGGAAAGTCTCCAGGGTCGTGCCCAGCATTTTCAAGCGACATAGGGACACGTGCATGGAAAATGGGACTGTGCATCATTTTCCCTGAGCGTCCCTCCGCACAGCAAAAAAAGAATGAAATGTTGGTTCATGGTTCGATCCCAGTGATGACAAAGTTTTGCATTTTCGAATGGCGCTTGCATGAAAGAACGAAATATTGGGCATGGCTCGGATCCAGTGCATGAACAAAGTGTTGCATTCTATGCGCTTGTATGGATGTGGCGATATTGAATACCATTTGATAAACTAGAAATGGATGCCATATTCACCTCAGGACCATCACTAACCCGCATGAGATTTTTTCCCAAATTCGATCACAAAACCTGTGGCACGGGAGTTTTTTTTAACCATCTTCTTGCCATTGAGGTTCCACTCAGGAAAAATAATACCACAGCCGCGGTGTCGCGTGCGTGGGGTTCCTACAGCCGCGAAAATACTGTTTTCGGGAAGAAAGCGACTCAGGGCACAACACGGAAAGATTACTGGTGACGCTATCTTCTAGTTCGAGAAGCGTCTTGGAATGCGACAAACGGCATGCCTTGATAGTGCCCTTTTATTCTCTATTCGTGGATGCGTTTGATTAAGCCTGTAAACTCATACGGAAACCAAACAATTCGGTTGGTCAAGCCGACTGAAATCTTTGTGATCTATTCAAAGGAATCTTCCGCGGAAAAAGCTCCGCCTCGGCAACGTACACAGCAAAACGTATCCTTAGGGCCAAAGCCTGATGCAGCATAAGAAAACGAAGCGCTAAAAAGCGGTGTCGTTTCGTATCTAGATCCTTAACAGGACAAAGAAGTGATCACTCTTTCCGTTTAGGATTCCTTTAAGGTATCGTTTTCTGTGGCAATGAGGGCAGAGCTTTTTCCATGGATGATTCCTTCAAACTACAGGCTAAAAAAAAAGACTCCGATCACCCTATTCAGTTTCCACAGTAGGAAAAGAACAAAGCAGTAGAGAAAATTAGCCCGCGGAGGGGAAGAGAACCTTCAGGGTGACCACGAATGGAATCCAAGCCTAATAGCTGCACCGGTTGGCAATGCCTATGGGGTTGTGTGTTGGTTGTTCCCCACAATCTAAAAAGATAGTGTAATTGGTCGAACAGAAAAGAGGACGGCCGGACCACTCAAGCCTTTTCATGGCACGTTCCCTCTTTGGTCACGAGCTACCAAGAGTCAGGTTTCTCTGGTGATTCAATAGTTCGGGCTGTCCCTTGCCCTAGTTCGCGTGAAATTATATTATGAGATCTACCCATTTTATTCCCCTCCATTATTCCAGGTCAATTCAAACAACAAACGATCGTGGATTCGTAGGGCAGATGATCAATAACATCTTCGCGGACCTTCGGAATTTATCGCAGACTTTTCGGAACTGGTAACAACGGAAACACTCGCTGCCTCCATTGAGAATGGTTTGGATAACAACACCCGGTTGCTTCTCACATCAGCCCTTCCCAGGGAGGTTTCTTAATTCAGAGGGCTTACGCAAGTACTGCAGATCACGATCTTCCGATAGATGCGCTTTTAAAAGCTAAGCGCAGAAATAGTTCGTTGGCGTCAACGGTAGTTCGACGGAAAAGGTGGCGATCCCATCATTTTGAAAACACTTCATTA